AATTTTATTTTAATATATTTAACTTTGTTTTAAAGATTGCCTGGCACCCATAGCTCATGCCTGTAATCCTAGGTACTCAGGAGGCTAAGACCTGATCTCCAATTAACCACCAAAAAGCTGGCTCAAGTGGTACAAGTGCTATCCTTGAGCAAAAAAGCTCAGCAACAGTGCCAGGCCCTGAGTTCAAGCCCCAGAACTGCACATGCCCACACTCATATGTGCACGCGCGCACACACACACTATGGGAAATCTGACATGTTAAATTGAAATTACTTTGTACCTAAATACAAAAAATTTAAATTATGGTTTTTGCCACTATGTCAAAACGTTTTTGTTGTTGTTTTTTTGTTTTCCCTATCCAAGCTGGCTTTGAACAGTGATTCTCAGATCTCAGATTCCTGAGTAGCTCAGATTACAGGTGTGAGCCACCAGTGCCCAGCAAAGTTTAGGGTGTGTTTTTTTTGTTCTTTGTTTTTTGTGGGTTTTTTCGTAAAGGTGATATACAGAAGGATTGCAGTTACATAAGTCAGGTAATGGGTGCGTTTTGGGGTTTTATTTAACTCCCTCCCTACTTTTCTCCCAGTTTTTTTTTTCCTCCTCCTGGCCTCCCTCCCCCTCCCCCACATTTTCCACAAAATTTGTAATGAGTGTCACCACTGAATTAGTTCACCCTTTGTCCCACCATCTCTGTGATTCCTCTTACCCCAAAACTTTTGTGGAGCTTCACTACATGTTGCTTAATGGCAATCAAATGAGCAGTTTCATTTGTACTCATTTATAGATACCTAGCATAATGAAGTCTCAGAAAGTGTACTGTTATATGAAGCTATTTGAGAAATATCACATTTGCTATTCTTCTGAAAAGTAAAACAGTAATATTGATTTTGCAGATGTCCAGATCTCTTTTTTTAAAAATTAAGTAAATTACTGCATAACATTCCTTAAATACTAGTATGACTGAATCAGGCAGTCCTCCATGTGCTGAAGAGTTCTCTGTTTCTGCCTCTTCCTTTTTGTCCATTATCTTAGCAATGTGTCCTCAAGAATCTGGAAGAATATTTGGAAAATTACAAGAATAAATCAACATGGAGTTAAGACAACCCTGGTTTTAGACAATTGAGTATAGCCCAAAACCTCAAGTATGTCCAAACTTGGAATGGGGTACAATGTTTCTTCACTGTGGAAAAATCTTCTTACAGATTTGTGAATATCTCACTGCTTTCCAGATTTCAGGCTTATGTTCAGTGTCATGGGGGGTCCGGACGTGGTACCTGAACTCTGGGCCTGGGCGCTGTCCCTCATCTCTTCAGCTCAAGGCTAGCGCTCTACCACTTGAGCCACAGCACCACTCCAGCTTTTTTCTTTTTGCTTATGTGGTGCTGAGGAATCGAAACCAGGGCCTGAGGCATGCAAGGCAAGCCCTCTACCACTGAGCCATCTTCCCAGCCCCTACAAAGCTATTTTCAATTGCAACTGTTCTCTGGCAGTATTTATCCACCTTATCTACATTTTTCTTTTCTTTTCTTTACCAAGATGAAGTACTAGCATCTCATTTTTTTATATCTTTGGTCTATTTCTGTAGCTCAACACAAAATGAATAAACACACAGAAAGGACTGTGCCAGAAATTGGTGCTCAAGTGGTAGAGTGCTTGTCTTGAGCTGGAGAGCTGAGGGACAGGGCTCAGGCCCAGAGTTCAAGCCCCATGACCCACCAAAAAAAAAAAGGATTGTGCCTATGATTTACTGCTGGATTGCCACAAGTACAGGGCTGAGCACGCCGTAAGCATATAAACCATAATTTTTGCCTGAATGTAGAGCAAGTGGTTAGCAAGTGGTAATAGGTTTGAGCTCAACTCAATAAACAATCTTTGTTGAAAGAGTGATGTAATATCATAAGATAAAAATGAGTGTGAATGTAATAAAATAGGTGTGAATGCAATACATGAAGTCATACTGTCTTAACCCCAGGAATAACTAATGTCCAGGATTTGATTATCTAGAGGAACCCTGTGAGCAAGTTCAATTCACTATGCTATCATGTGTTAGTCCTTGTAGTAGATCCAATAATGACCTCACATCCATAGATACTGTGCATTAAATGAAATAATTTATCTGACGCCTGCTACAGACTTTCAAAGTAATAAAATTACTGTTGGACTGATCATCTGGACAGTTTCCAAGCAAGGTATATCTCCATTATTAGTATCTCCATTTGGGTTTTTTGTTTTGTTTGGGGGTTTTTAGGGGTACTTGAATTTGCACTCAGGGCCTCCAAAATCCTTGGAGGGATCTCTCATCTAGCCATGTCTCCAAGCCCTAGCATCTCCATGTCTCAAATAATTTAAATGCCAAATACAGAGAGTACAAATGGTAGTAGGATGCTGTCCATTCTCCCAAATCATGTACTAACTAAACAACCCTCTGAAAAAACACCTGGATAGCTCACTCACTTTATTGTCCCTACAACAATAAACCTGCTCTCAGAAAGTACTCAAATTTGCAATCCACGTAAATCCATTTTCTTACCTAGGAGCAGAAAAAAAAATTGTCTAAAACAATAAAACTGGTAATATTCTTCCAGAATAAATGAAATCCAACACAAAACTAATTTTTACTGGTTTTCCTTTTTTTCTTTTGTCAGCCATGGGGCTTGAACTCTGGGCTTGGACAATGTACCTGCACTCTTCAGCTCAAAGCCAGGGCTTGGGCAATGTACCTGCACTCTTCAGCTCAAAGCCAGCGCTCAACCGCCTGAGCCAAAGCACCACCTCCGGTTTTCTAGTGGTTTATTAGAGGTAAGGGTCTCATGGGCGTTCCTGCCCGGGTTGGCTTTGAGCCATGATCCTCAGATCTCAGCCTCCTGAGTACCTAGGATTACAGGCATGAGCCACCGGCACCGGGCTCTGGTTTTCCTTTTCTCCCAATTGATAGTGGAGGAAAAATAATTTGTTAACCAACCTCGTAAATTTTACTTGCAAGAAAAACCTAAAATCTGTTACAGAAAAAAACAACAGAAATATATGAAGATGTATACATGAGACATCCAGAGAAAAGTAGTCATAGAGTTCTTAAATTAAAACTTGTATAGCACCATTAAACACACCCACACACAAAACCAAAAAACAGCCAGTTGCCAGTAGCTCACAACAGTAATCCTAGCTTCTCAGGAGGCTGGGATCTAAGGTTTGAGGTTTTGAAACCAACCCAAGCAGTAAAGTCTGTGAGACTCTTATCTCCAATTAACCACACGTGCAGCTATGGCTCAAGTGATACAGTACTAGCCTGGAGCAAAAGCTCTCAGATCCTCAGTTCATGCCACAAGGTTGGCACAAAGAAAAAAGCATATGAAGTATATATTGCACAAGAGTAAAAATCTCAATTATTTGATTCCCCAAATGCAACACCAATGCAGCCAGTATTAACTTTCAACAAATGTGTTTGCATTAAATAAATTTTAAAATCATCACTATTTCTTTTCATTAATTCTAAAATCACCAATATTATTTGCTGCAAAATACTAAAGGCATAACAATTAGGTTTCTAAATTATGTCAAAGACAAACAAAACATTTTCTGGTTTATAACAAGGCAATGGAATGAAATGGTCCTGACAAAATGCTTTCTGGCAAATTTTGTGGGAGGTGGATGAGTACATAGGCTTTTATAAATTCTAAACTTCTTCCATGTATTCAAAAATGTCATACAATAATGATTTTTTAAAAGAAAATATCTGCAAATGGTGAATTGCCAAGGTGGCCATGAAGAAGTATCAGCTGACTTAATTAAACAGGACCTTGTGTGTACAGAAAAGACATGTGACAATTCGAAGGGCATCTTCGATATCTGCCCAGAGGACAAGAATGATGTTTTTTTCGTATAGCATCCTCGAACATGTCCAGTACCAATCACTGATGGTACAAACTATGAAAGTTGCTGTGTCTCCGCATACTCATTCACTATTCCCCTCAATTACTCTAAAAGCACTATATGATTCTTTTTTTTTTTTTTTTGCCGGTCATGGGGCCTGAACTCTGGGCCTGGGCACTGTCCCTCAGCTCTTCAGCTCAAGGCTAGTGCTCTACCACTGCCACTTCCGGCGCTTAGGAATCGAACCCAGGGCCTCATGCTTGCAAGACATGCACTCTACCGCTGAGCTACCTTCCCAGCCCCCACTATATGATTCTTGCTGCAGTATTAAGCAAGCAATCCAGAAAGTCTTCTCTTGGAGAGCAGTATCTAAGCAATGGCAAACTACAGTCAAGTCACCTTCTATTGCGTAAGTCCTTACTAAATTCAAACTCAAGCAGGATTTAAATTTCTTCTGCTTTTTTTTTAGCCCCAGGTACCTATGAATAGCACTATCCCTTTTAACACCTACTTACAATTACTTGGGGCTCCTTCCTACAGTGAACCTAGACTGCAGGTGTAGCGCAAGTAGAGGATCAGCAATTAGCAGAAAAGCCAGGAACTAGGCCCTGAGTTCAAGTCCCTAACAGAAAATTAGTCATGATTGAGTTTGCAGGCAAAGGTGTTTCACTAATACTTCCAACGCCACATGGAGACCATTGGGCTATGAGAGGAATCTTAAGGGGAAGGGGGGGGAGGAAGGGGAGAAAACAAAATCTGATTGACACAAGCCTTATCCAAAAATAAGCCTTTTCCCACCAACAAGCTCAATATTGAGTACGGAAAAAGCTCCAAGGCATAATCGATTCTACCTAGGTAGACTAGATAAATTGCCATCTATACATCTGAGTAGCTCAGAAGGCTTATTGCACCTAAAGTGTCCTTGCGAGAATATAATCTATAGCAGCGAAAAGAAAAGACACTGAAAAGGTAACAGTATTTCCAGCTACTTTTACAGACATTAGTAGGTGGCTCTTAGAAGAGCCTTTTGAGTTTCAGCCAGTGCCAAGAACACGTTAGGCCCTCTCTCCACGGATGCGGCGCGCAAGCTGGATGTCCTTCGGCATGATGGTCACACGCTTGGCGTGGATGGCGCACAGGTTAGTGTCCTCAAAGAGACCCACCAGGTAGGCCTCACTGGCCTCCTGCAGCGCCATCACAGCAGAACTCTGGAAGCGCAGGTCAGTCTTGAAGTCCTGCGCGATCTCGCGCACCAGACGCTGGAACGGCAGTTTGCGGATCAGCAGCTCCGTCGACTTCTGGTAGCGCCGGATCTCGCGCAGCGCCACGGTGCCGGGCCGGTAGCGGTGGGGCTTCTTCACGCCGCCGGTGGCCGGAGCGCTCTTGCGAGCGGCCTTGGTGGCCAGCTGTTTGCGGGGAGCCTTGCCACCGGTGGACTTGCGAGCGGTCTGCTTAGTACGAGCCATAGTAACGCTATAACGAAGAGGAAGGAAGTAGAAGAGCAGCAGCTGCCCTTATATACACGTAGGGATGCTCTGGTTGGCCTAAACCGTTGTTTTGTTTTTCAAAAGTCCCGCCCAATAAAACTATTGGCTAAAGCAGCGACAACGTGATTGGTAGATTTTGAAACTCTTAAATGAATTACTGAATTTTCCATTTCTCCATTTTTTTTTCTTTTGAAGGGTTCCAAGCGTAAATTTTGTACTAGACCTCTTTCATTAAAATATTTTCAAACAAGTCACTAGACATGTAAAAGAAAAAATTTAAAAGCAAAAAACACTTGAAATGTTCAGATTGGATCGTGGTATCACGTATAATTTTTCTCCAATTTCTTGTTTTCTAATTGTTATTGTAAAGGCGATGTACAGAAGATAGTTACATATGCCGGGTAATGAGTTATTTTTTCCATTTCTTTGTAGTCTTACTCGGGAGATGTTTTCCAAAATTTTGTTTCATGATTCCGATAGGTCCATAAGAAACCAAACTCTGGGATGTTAAGTTTCCATATGTGGAAGTAGTAAATTCTAAAAACTACACCTTGAAAATATGTACTGTACACTGGTAATATTTCAGGTTACTTCCAGGACTTCCACCTTCTAGCAGAGTCGAGGGACGGCAGAGTACCAGGGACATCACCTGAAAGCACTATGCCTGAGTGAGTTGGCAACTGTTTACTTCCTAATGTTAGCCCAACTAGTCTTTATGTTCACAGTGAAAACCTCAGGCTTACTTCTGGCTGCCCTATTTACCACCCAACGTTTTAAATCTCAATATTTTACAGACTATTTTATTTTCCCCAGGAAAACATCCACTCCACCGCCCAAAGGCTCTAACAAGGATTTCCTTTGTTTCCCTTCTTGTAGAAAATACCAGCAACACTGGGTCGGCTTAAAATTCCACTTTTCACACTTGACTTTCACTTGCTTCCTCCAACCTTTCGTGTACCACAAACATAGGACATATGTACAACCCACCCACTTGCAAACACAGAAACTTATGAAACACCATTTCCAAGCGATTGTTACGAGCTCTCATATGAAGATGTGGGTGGCTCTGAAAAGAGCCTTTGGATTTGAATGCAGACAGCTACACGGAGCGTTTTACTTTCCCTTAGCCTTGTGGTGGCTCTCGGTCTTCTTGGGCAGCAGCACGGCCTGAATATTGGGCAGGACGCCGCCCTGAGCAATGGTCACTTTGCCAAGTAGTTTGTTAAGCTCCTCGTCATTGCGGATGGCCAGCTGCAAGTGTCGGGGAATGATGCGAGTTTTCTTGTTGTCCCGAGCTGCATTCCCGGCCAACTCCAAGATCTCAGCGGTGAGGTACTCCAGCACTGCAGCGAGGTAGACCGGAGCTCCAGCACCAACTCGCTCGGCGTAGTTGCCCTTGCGAAGCAAGCGATGGACACGACCAACAGGGAACTGCAGTCCAGCCCGTGAAGACCGGGTCTTGGCCTTAGCGCGGGCCTTGCCTCCTTGCTTTCCGCGCCCAGACATAGTTAAAACGAGACAGAAAAGAACCACTCCAGAACGTACAAACACCCAACAGCTTAATATTTATACAGTACGGTAGGCTTCAGAACTAACGAATAACACAGGCAGTCCTCACATTTTAGCCAATCAACCAGCAGGTCTAAGAATAATATCTAGTCCTAATTTACATAAACGTTTCAGGTTGAAAGGTTAAGGGATTAGAACACTAGCCAATGAGGGAATAGAATAAAGTAGCCTATCGGTGGCCAAGATTCTAAAAGGACCAACCACAGTCCTTCATTTCACAAGTGCTCATTTGCATCTACCCCAAGCAAATAATTAAGGCGCTCGGGCCCTTCTTACACTTGCTCATTGTAATCCAGGAGTAATAGTCCGAACATGCCCGAACCAGCGAAGTCCGCTCCCGCGCCCAAGAAGGGGTCGAAGAAGGCGGTGACCAAGGCGCAGAAGAAGGACGGCAAGAAGCGCAAGCGCAGCCGCAAGGAGAGCTACTCGGTGTACGTGTACAAGGTGCTGAAGCAGGTCCACCCGGACACCGGCATCTCGTCCAAGGCCATGGGCATCATGAACTCGTTCGTGAACGACATCTTCGAGCGCATCGCGGGCGAGGCTTCTCGCCTGGCGCACTACAACAAGCGCTCGACTATCACGTCTCGGGAGATCCAGACGGCCGTGCGCCTGCTGCTGCCCGGGGAGCTGGCCAAGCACGCCGTGTCCGAGGGCACCAAGGCCGTCACCAAGTACACCAGCTCCAAGTAGATTTTGTTGGTCTACGTGGAAAGCCAACCAACCCAAAGGCTCTTTTAAGAGCCACTCACTTATTTTTTGAAAGATCTGCAAAGAAACTTGGCCAAGTTGGTAGTGGGTACGCTAGAGGGTTGTAAGTGCTGGCGTTTCATATACTCTGATGTTTAGGGAATGTCTTCAGTAGAGTTACATACAGCATGCTAGAAAAAACCAGCTAATGTCAGTTACCCACAAAACGACACCACCACCCTATTCCACTGTAGTTTTCTATAAGAATTCCTCAGTCTATAGCAAACGGATTTTAGTGCACCTACATGTAAGCACTGTGGAAAAATTGAATATTTAGCAATTTGTCATCTAGTGGGATACGTTATTGGCAGCTGTTTCCTAGACACATCTCTACCTGACCCTTTCCCCCATTCTGGAGTCTGCATGTCTTCGCAGAATTAATCGTTCCTGAGTTATTTAATTAGTAATGTGCATTTGACACTTTATTCTGGAGTGCGAGTTTAGTTACAGGAATATGGAAATTTAGATGTAAGCAGTAAAAATCTGTTTGGAAGCCATCCGAGTCCTGTAAAAGACTTCCTTCTCCAACAAAATCATTTTCCAGGAACCTTTAATACCCCTCACAAGAACGCCCATTTAGTCATTTCAACAAAATATAGACCTCAGATACAAAGCCAAGTTTTATTTTAGCAAATCACAATAAGGAAAGCTAGCAAACAAAAAAACGTTCTGAAACAAAGGGCGGATTTACATACGGTTCCTGAGCTGAGTGCTATGCAAATGAGGGATTCAAACGAATAATCAGCTCTCAATGTGATTGGTTAATTCCAACAAACACTCCGTGATCACTGGGGAAGGGAGGGTGAAAATGAGTTTCCAAAAGCTGTAGAGGCTGAAATTAGTCCAGTAAGAGCTGTAAACTTAAGTTTCTACTCGAAATACTGGGTGTAGTGCCCAAGTCGTAGGACCCCCCACCAAGACCACCACCGAGAGTCAGACGTTCTGAAATGCAAAGGCAAGGTTTTATTTAGACGGGCTGCAGCTCGGGCCTGGGTCCTACACTCCGACACAGCGGAGCCTAGGAGGAGAGCCCCGAGTTAAACATTTACAGAGCTTATAAAGGCAAACAACAATGTGTTTGGATTTCCACCACTTGTTACTCTGCTAGCTGAGATAATTGGTGGTCTAGGTTTGCTCACAGGATTTGCTTATCTTAGGTTTAACCTTTCAGTTTAAACAAGCAACAAATGGTCACTGCCTCAAAAATGGAGTTAACCCTTCCTGGGTACCTGTGTGACCGGCGTCAGAAGATGGATTCCATCCCTAATATTGTATTTGGGTCTGTCAGCCATTTGAATCTCGGAGATTCAGCTTTTCACAATACTCAATGCAGAAATCAGAGGTGTTGGGTTGTAAAAAGAATAAGTATCTTAAGAGTTGCTTACTAATTTTTCTTTTCTTCCTGCTCCCTTTACTGCCTCATGACGATTCTTTTTCCTCCATATTTTTTTTCTGGTCGTGGGGCTTGAACTCAGGGCCTGGGCACTGTTCCTGAGCTTTTGCTCAGGAAACACTCTACCACTTGAGCCACAGCACTGCTTCCGGGTTTTTCTGTGAATGGGTGCCCAAGAATTGAACCCAGGACTTCATGCACTCTACCGCTGAGCCACCTTTCCAGCACATATTCTTTTTGTTGTTGTTGCTACATTTCCCCAATATATCTTAAGCCAAAAATATTGAGGTGAGGGTGCTTATGATGAATTTCTGCAACTTCATAAATTTGTTCTTTAATTGGAACATAGGAAAATAGCTACCTGATGAGATTTAATTGGCCTGGAGTTATATCCTTGGACAGTAACTCCAAAGAAGACTCATTGGGGTACATTGCTAACACCTAAATAGCTGAAGAACATCAGCTCCCTCAAGCCCCAGAGTTGAAGTATTTGGCTCTAGTTCTAGTAGCTACTACCACTACAATCATTAATGCTTTAGTACCTGGTTTTCTAAAGGAACCACAAAATAGTTACTAAGTTTTGTGAACCCCCTACAGAGTATATATTGGTGGAGTTAAAAATATACTACCCTTGGGCTGGGAAGGTAGCTCAGTGGTAGACACTTGAGGCCCAGGGTTCGATTCCTCAGCACCACATAAGCAAAAAGAAAAAAGCCAGCAGTGGCACTGTGGCTCAAGTGGTAGAGCACTAGCCTTGAGCTGAGGGACAGTGCCCAGGCCCAGAGTTCAGGCCCCACCACCGGACCAAAAAAATATTATATATATATATATATATATAACCAAAAAATATAAAATATCTTGACATACATTAATAGTGAAATTTGAGAGATTGCTGTTCCTCTTTTCCCTCAAAGCAAATCCTAAGTATCTACTGTAAAACATGCTGACCCCAAAAAGGAAACTGAACAAAAGGTTTTTGCATCATCACCCCCAGTTCATTAACATTAGCTCATGTTTTGGGGCTATGTTTCTGCTGTCCACTCTCTTAATCAACTACAGCATAAAATCATAGGTGTGATTGCTTTTACTCAAGCCTGACTGATTTCTGTATGAAGACTCCCCGTCATCTTAAATAACTTAAATGAATATGTATGCTTTTGTCATTAATCTATTTTGTAACAGGCATACTAGCTAACAAACCTGAAGAAAAGGAAAAAAGATACTTCTGGGTGTGTGTGCATGTTTTGTGTTCATCTTTATGAACTGACCACCGCAAAGATTCAAAGCAAATGAATTACAAAATGAAAATGGTTAAGTTTGGGGTTTTGTTTGTTTAGTTTGCTAGGGCATTCAGGAAGAAAGTACTACAGAATGAGTGGTGGCTTAAACAACCTATTTTCTCACAATTTAGATGTCACTAAGTCTGAGATAAACCCTGTGGCAACAATTAAGTTCTGTGGCTTTTTCTGTTGGCTAGTAGACAGTTTTCTTCTCTGTCCTCACATGATGTCTCTGTACTGATGCCCAAATCTCTTCTTGCAATTAGATCGGTTGGGGCAGGAGGTGGGGAGGGGGAGAGACACCGATATTTTTATAACTTTAAAGACTATTTCTCAAAATTCAGTCATATTTTCAGGTGATAGGACTTTATCAGATGAAATTGAAGCAGATACAATTTAACTAATAAGAAATATGGAGTGACATTGACCAGGAAGCTTTGTGCTCATAATCTGACTTATGGAATTATAATCATTTTGTACAACTACTTAAGAATAACAATTTTAAAAAAGAAAAAAAAAGAAAGATGGAGACTAGGCTTTTAAGTACTACATTAACTAGTAGTCCACAGGTGTTGCAAACTAAGCAAGAGACCAAGATTACCCTGTCTATATTCCCCCTCAGCTCCATTTACTCATCCTTGAATATTATCTTTTTTTCTGCATGTATTTCATGTAAAATCATTTTAAAACTTAAAACGGTAATCATTTTAAACTTCTACTTAGTATTGCAATTCTTGTTTTAAAAATCTAGAAATTTAAATGTTTAATACTAGGAGTTTGGCAAAAATAAAAAGGTTTATGTATCCTATGCATGTATCCTGTTAAATATTGTAGTAAAAATAAACATAAATATAATGGTAGGGGGCTGGGAAGGTAGCTCAGTGGTAGAGCGCTTGCCTTGCACACACGAAGCCCTGGGTTCAATTCCTCAGCACCACATAAGCAAAAAGAAAAAAGCCGGAAGTGGCACTGTGGCTTAAGTGGTAGAGCACTAGCATTGAGCTGAAAAGCTGAAGGACAGCGCCCAGGCCGAGTTCAGGCCCCAGGACCGGACCCAAAAATAAAAATATACATATATATAATGGTAGGATACAATGGGAAAAAAGTTACCAAATAATATATTTTCATTTTTACTATAAAATTACTTACAGGAGGAAAAAACAAAGGATGAATGCCACAAGTATTTTTACATTTGGAGGAGGAAGGAAGGAAAGAATCAACTCCTTAAAGATAACTATCTCCAGTTGGCTTTCTCTCAAATCTCAGCTGTTTGTTTCACAGATAGGAAATTCTGCTGCAGACCCTTCTTTGCCGTATGTTAAGGAAACCAAAACTTATGTATTCAACAATTATTGAGTGACATCTTTTTAATAAGCATGTTAGGCACCTGGCATACAAAAATGCCTTAGAGAATTTTAGCATACAATTAAAATTCAAAAAATAAAGTAAATGGTATTTAGCTTAAAAGGAAAAAAAAAAGGTGGGAGTTATTTGTAAACCACCTAGTTATATAATTGTGAGCACATGTGGTAGAGCACCAGCCTTCATTGAAAAAGCTACCCAATAGCACAAGGAAGGCCTTGAGTTCAAGCCCCACTACCAGCACAAAACAAAAAAAGAAAAGGGAGGGAAGAAAGACAAAAGGAAGAAAAGGTCCTTAAGTAGGGCTCTTAGCAAAAATAGCTGCTAATAAACAGTGATTTGACTTACATTCTCACTAGATATCCTATGTACTATTATTCCATTCCTTTGATTTTCATTGTAATGTTTTAATTTTCGAAAAAGAAAATTGCAGGCTCCTCAGGGCAATAAAAAATAAGCCTGGTATTTGGTATGGAGTTTGCAGAGAGCTTAGTATAAAACAACCTCCTGGAGGGGATGACATTCAAACACAAACCTGAAGAAAAGTGGGGTAGCAGTTACCTATAGAGACCTGGCAGTTCACTGCTCCTGCAGAGGGAACTGTCATTACATAGTCCTTAGATAGACATGTACTTCAAAAAAGGTCTAGGAGTAATGAAAGTGGAATAGAAAGGAAATAAAAAGTATTGGCAATTAAGTATAAAGAAGTAATAAGGGCTAGAGATTGGGGACTTGTGGGTCATTGAAAGAACTTTGGGTTTTGAGTGAAATGAGGTTTTCAGCAAAGTCATGACCCAACTATTTCCCAAAAAAATCAGATTTTATTTATTTTGGCAATCCTGGAGCTTGAACTCAGGGCCTGGGCGCTGTCCCTCAGCTCTTCAGTTCAAGGCTAGCGCCCTACTACTTGAGCCACAGCACCACTTTCAGCTTTCTGAGTGGTTTATTGGAGATAAGAGTTTCACGTGCTCTTCCTATTGGGGCTGGTTTTGAACTGTGATCCCCAGATCTCAGCTTCCTGAGTAGCTAGGATTACAGGCATGAGCCACCAGCACCCAGCTGTCCCTGGATTCTTTTGCTCAAAGTTAGCCCTCTACCACTTGAGCCATAGTGCCCTTCTGGCTTTTTCTGTGTATGTGGTACTGAGGAATCAAACTCAGGGCTTCATGCATGCTAGGCAAACACTCTACAACTGAGCCACATTCCAGGCCCCAAGTCAGATTTTTATCTAAAGATCTATCTTCTTGGAACCATCTGGATCAGGCATGATAAAAATTAAAGTGTTAAGCAGAGTTCAACAAAATATTTCAGGAGGCCTGATAATTGCTTGAAAAATCTGTGGGGAAGATCCATGGATCTTCATAGATTACCCAAAATCTGTGGAAAGGCTGTGTTTATGTTGAAGTCTTATTACATACTCATTACCAAACCCACTTTCCTACATCTGCAAAATAATGATATACTCTACCTGAGAATTACAAGAGAAAAAGAGACTTATTTGAGAAATACCCAAAAAATCATAATGTATTGCCAGGCACTGGTGGCTCACACCTGTAATCCTAGCTTGTCAGGAGGTTGAGATCTGAGGATCACAGTTCAAAGCCAGCCCCAGCAGGAACATCCATGAGACTCTGATCTCTAATTGACCACCAGAATAGTGGAAGTGGTGGTCTGGCTCAAGTGGTAGAGCGCTAACTAGCCTTGAGCTGAAGAGCTCAGGGGCAGCATCAGGCAATCAGAGTTCAAGCCCCATGACCAACCAAAAATAAAAATCATAACGTAATCGACAGAGCTTGAAAACAAACACTATTTCTCTAGCCTGGTTCAGTTTTTAAACTGCTTCTCTTCATTATCAAATTTCTTTCCTGAGAAAATTCATCTGATCTTGTTTTTCTTTATTTTCTTTTTGGTAAGTCATGGGGCCTAAACTCTGGGCCCCGGCACTGTCCCTGAGCTCTTCAGCTCTTGAGCCACAGCGCCACTTCTGGCTTTTTCTGCTTATGTGGTGCTGAGGAATCAAACCCAGAGTTTCAAGCATGCAAGGCAAACACTCTACCACTGGGCCACCTTCCCATCCCTGATCTTGTTTTTCGACTCATGGTAAATATATTTTTTCTCCAAAACTCCAGCTTTATACCCAATCATTTCACATCTTATTTTAGATATACCCAACCATTTCATATTTTTTTAGATAATTAACAGTATTTCAGACTCTCTGGATAATCAAAATTAAGCCTCTAATTCTCTCTAAAACATATTTCTTTCATTTTCTTCCCTCTATTAGTAATTGTTTTTCTCCCTCCAGTGGCTATTGTTAAAATTATCAGAATCATCTATGAACTTTCCTTCTCTCATCCCCTACCATCATTTGGTCAGGGGAAAAAAAAAAGCAAGCTAAAAAGTGTTAAATCTTTCTAAATGTATACAGAATCTATCGATCACTAACACATTGGTCCAAGTCACTGTGTGTAGTAGTAGCAGCCTCCCAACTGCTCTCCTTGCCCCTACCCAGGTCTATCAGTCTATTTTCCATCCATCAGGCAAATAGGTCATTTCACACTATAAATCAGAACCTTTTCAGTCCTCTGCTCACAACTACCACCTCAGTCAAAGTACAAGGTAAATACTTAATATTAACTTACGAAGTCGTACAGGAATTATTCACTTTCATTTTGCTTCTTAAGCCTATCTCCTTTTAGGTTTCAGTATCTTTTTTCCCATCAGTTATGAAGCTTTGGATGACCATATCATTTGAAGTATTACTTCTCTTCACACATTATAAACTGTTTCCTTCAAAATTCACCACCATAACGCTTAGCACCATCAGATCCAGTTTTATTTTGCTTACACTTTTACACTCTAAAATATAAACGGTGAATGTAGAATTTCATTTACTATAGTCATTCACTGCTAGAATTCCAAGAGTATAAAACACTGCCTGAGGCATACTACATGCTCATTTCTTTTAATATGTTTTTCTTCTCTAAGTTCCTTATCTACATCTGATTGTTTCAATACTTACAAGAATATATCTTTTAAAGGTCAAATCTATTTTAACACCATTGGTCTTCTTAATCCAAAATGACCCTACAGATTACTCACAAGGAAAAAAAAGCCCCATTTTACAATGGAATTCCCATGTCCCTGATATGATGCGAGAGAATATACATATCATCGATAATTTCCTGATCTCAACTAAGCTTATCATCGATAATTTCCTGATCTCAACTAAGCTTATAGAAATCACCGCTATTTTATATAACAGGAGGCAAGAAAATGTATCCCACCAAAAGAGCAAAAGAACATATTAGATAGATCTGATCCCCAGGAAATGTCTTAAATGGAAGGCAACAAGGATTCTCTAGCAGAATGGAGACAGAACCAGCTAAATGTTGCATATTTGAAAGCACCAAAGTATCTAAAAACTAGAGCACAACTGGGATGCTCTCAATGTGGACTGCGTACAGAATTCAGGGAATTTAGCTTTAAAGGAAAAAGAAGCATTAAAGTATTGCATACTTAAGGATGAATTGTCATGCCGACACTTTTCTTAATCACACTACTAGCTAATTAACACCCTATCTGCATTTTTAGTGCCTCCATACGAAATCAGAATTAAGCCTCTATCAGCTCTTTGCTGCCTTCAAGAATAATTCTCACCCACAGATCTAAGAGGCCAGGAAGAGCTCGTAGCTCACGCAGCAGGGCCTGGGACTCAGGGCCTGGGACGCAAGCTCCGCCCAGGTCCGGGGCAGTCCCGCTCACACTCGCACTTTGTTCCTGGGTTTCCCCTTCGCGCCAAATGGGCGCGCGGCTCTTTGTTCCGCCATTTTGAGCGCCGTACCAGGAGGCCGGCTTTCTCAGGCTACGAAGAACGCGGAAAGAGACTTGCGCAGGTTTAGTTCTAAATAAACTGGGTCAATAAACTGGAAACTCAAGCAGGAGATTTAACTAGTGCCAAAAAACTAAACCCAACTTCATGGAGATAACAAACCACATTTGGAACACGTAGCCGAAGAAAATGTTCGCTCTTTCATAGAGAATGTGGGCGGCCCTGAAAAGGGCCTTTGGTTGAGTAAACTGGGCTTTAGAGGGAGCTCCTAGCCGCCGAAGCCGTAGAGGGTGCGGCCCTGGCGCTTGAGCGCGTAGACCACGTCCATGGCGGTGACGGTCTTGCGCTTGGCGTGCTCCGTGTAGGTGACGGCGTCGCGGATCACGTTCTCAAGAAACACCTTCAGCACCCCGCGAGTCTCCTCGTAGATCAGGCCGGAGATACGCTTGACGCCGCCACGACGGGCCAGCCGCCTAATTGCGGGCTTTGTAATACCCTGGATGTTATCGCGAAGGACTTTGCGATGACGCTTAGCGCCACCCTTTCCGAGGCCCTTCCCGCCTTTGCCGCGTCCAGACATACTGAAGAAGCTACAAGAACGTCCCCAAAACGCAGCTGAGCCAGGCGGCTCTTGCCTTATATGCACGGATTTCGGACCTAATTGAAGACTGAAGGCGCCAGCCCTCTGGTCCCGCCCTAGCCCCGCCCCTCGAACCACATGTGATGTGACGTCACCAACGATTTGAATGCCCGTTCACGGAGCTCTATTGTCTGCTGAGACCTCTCCAAAAATTCCTTTTTGTAGTTTTCACTGTCAGCCTAAAGTAAAGAAATTTTAATGATTGCCATTTTCCACTTGAGATGCTTTCGGGTTGCTGAGGAGCGTTGCTCTGTAACACAATTCTGTTGAAGATGGACCCCGGGTTTTTTAACTTTTCCCTCTTCCTGCTGTAAGGGTCCAAAAATACTCTACAAAAGAGTTGGAAAATTGCAACCTAATCTCCCTATCACATAGTTAAGGGAAGGATGGCCAGAAAAAGGTTTTCCCGAAGGAGGCAAATACATGGTCGGATACCGATTCTTTGGTATGATTCTTAACTCGCGCCGAGGTTCAGATTCTATTTCCGGCTAGTTTCTTTCCTTCCCCAGTTAGTTAAAATGTGCCATTTTATGTAAACTTTTTGCTACCTTCACAACTCACTAGCGTGTTGTTTCTCTACTTTTTACTTTTCTCTTCGATTCTAGTAGCAACATTCTTCCAAACAATTGGCATCCTACAGTAAACCAAGTATTGGAAGAGAGCTTACATAGCAGATGGAGTAGAGTTGAATGTTAGTAGGCAACATAATACTTAAGAGTGTTAATAGGAGGCTCGGCAGCAGCAAAGCAGAGTGGCGCAGCGGAAGCGTGCTGGGCCCATAACCCAGAGGTCGATGGATCGAAACCATCCTCTGCTAGGCTGTCTCTTTTCTTCCAGCCTTCTTTTTTCCTACTTTTAATACTAACTTAACGTTTGGACCTAAGCTACCCTATGCCTACCCTCTTCCTCATACCAACAACCTTTCTCCCCCTCTCCCCTCTCCTTTCTCCAAATTTGTCTTCCTGTCTCTCTGTCAGACTGCTGTTGCAGGTTGTCTTTTATCTAATTACGCTAACCTTCTGTCACTGTGACGCAATCATGTTACCCTCTGTCTCAGCACTGCCCGTTCTTTATTGTCAGTATCTGTAGTCTCTACAAACATCCATCTCTGCCCCTGTCCGTATAATTCTTCAGGTAACATTAATCACCTCTCTTCTGTATCTCTGTGAGCTTCCCATTTTCACTTTTATTATCTGTTTGCTAACCAACAAGCATTTGACCAAAGATGTCGGCTCAACTTTACAGACTCCTTGGCCTTAATGTGTTAGATTTTGCTCTGTAGAAAGAATCTAATTGGCCCATACCTGTACTGGGTTGTTCGGTTAATAGGCACTGTTATTTATGCTGTACTTTATTCTGTAACTGAGGCTTGGATGGGGAAAGTTAAATAACTAGTTATATAATAGGTGAAGTGGGGCAGATAAAGGTAGATGAGCAAGATAGGTATACATTTCAAATGTAACGTGTGTCCCCGCCATTTCTGCCAGATAGGCTAGAATAAAGGAGGTACTTACATATTTGTTATATCAAACTGAACTGCTCTGAGATCATTTCTAATGGAATACTGTATCCTCGCTAAGAAAATAGCAGCAGCAGCAGTAGTAGTGAAGGCAAATATACAATTAAAATTTTCTAGTCATTAGTTAAGCTTTTCAGAATTCTTAGACATGATTTGTTTTCCTAACACTACTTAGTATTTTTATAAGGCTTGCTTTGAGTCAATTATTTTCTGAGAATAAAATTTTTTTTTACTCAAGGGTAGTCTAATGTGCCTATAATAAATTACTATGAAATGAGAACGAAACACCTATTGAAGCACTTTTTAAAAATAATGACCATATAAATAAATGCAGCAGTTCAACATATCTTACTTATTAAAATGTAATTCCATAAATAAAAAGTCTCTGAAAAAATATTTTCATTCACTTTCAGACTGCTATGAAACTGATTCATCTGTTTTTCTAGCTTCATTATCCTTAATTTGATGTTGAAAGAAAATAAAGGTTATGCATTTGAAACCATATTTAGGAATACCTACCCAGTAAATGAAGTTCTTTACTTCGCTTTTAAAATTAAAATTCTCTTTCCATTATTTACTAACTTACTGAATTAATCAGAAATATATTTCTGTAGGACATTAAAATCACAACAAAGCAATTACTTATTGAATATCTTGAGAATTCAGTTGTTGTGTGCAAAAAAATTGGTTCCTTTATAAATTATAATAATCTTATTCATGAAATTTCATTGTTAGACACGGAAGGGAATATAAAGATAGCATATAGAAGCCTTCCAAACGTGTTTTGGAAAATAGAGAAAGACTATGATAAAGGAAGTGCAAAATACACTGTACATATCCACAGAATAATCACAACAAAACCCTCTTGCACTACCAATGTGTGTTTAAAAAAAAATTAAGGTAAGATTTTTTAAAGGAACAAAAAGCCTGGGCTAGCCTGCACAGTGATCCTATTTATGCTTTCTACCGTACCTGGAATGACAGGCATAGATAGATAGATAGATAGATAGATAGATAGATAGATAGATAGATAGACACCATACCTAGTTTTTAATTGATTGAAATTGAATCTCCAAACATTTTGCTTGGGCTGGCCTCAAATGAAGGTCCTTCCAATCTCTACTTCCTAAATAGCTAGAATTACAGATAGGAGCTATTATACCAACCTATGGTGGTTGCTGATTCCTCAGCAGGACCTGGGGATGTGGTGCTGAGAGACAGAGAGTAGACTACACCAAGCAGGTATGGACAAAGTTTAATTTGAAAAACCCTACATCCTTATATACTATTCACAGACAAAAAAGGTTATTTTTAGCCACAAAACATAAAACAGCTTTATGTGCTCAGACATTACATCAAAGGTTACAGAAAATAAGCAGGATGCAGGTGATTTCTTTTACACACAAAAAGGGAGTGTTAAGAGGTCATTCAGAGGAACACCATAGGGCACCTTCTGCATATCCCCGGAGGTTGTGGCCAGATGTCTGGACTGTTGTCCTCAGATGGGGTCACGCAGGCCTGTGCCTCCAATACACCTAGACATGTTTTTAAACAAGAAAATACTTTCAGTGAAACAGTATTTCTTGCCAGGCACCAGTGGCTACTCAGGATGCTGAAATCTGAGACCAGTTTTCAAAGCCAGCCCTGGGCAGGAAACTCCTTGAGACTCTTACATCCAATTAACCACCCAATAAATACATAAATAAATAAGAAAAGCAGAAATGCTGCTGTAGCTCAGATAGTAGAGTGCTACCATTGAGTAAAGAAACACAGGCCCTGAGCTCAAGCCTTGAGCAAACAGAAGAGAGAGAGAAAAAAAAAAGCACTATTTAAAAGGATACTATACTAAGTGCAGAAGGAAGGAATAAGAAAACCTGGTGGTTGTAGCTGTTTACTAGTTCAGTGATCAGGGAAAACTCTTAGCTTAACCTATATTTACTACAGTGAAGAAGACAATGCAGGAAAAAGAGAGGGCTCCCCCCTCCTAAGAAGGGGGGAGAGAGAGCAGAGAGAGAGAAAAGCTAGTGAAGGCTTTCTGGTGAAGACTTTCTTGTTCTCTGTCTTCTGTGATGGCACACATGCAGGGACATAAGTCAGCTGTGCTGGCCAAGAAAAGTCCACTTGAATATTGGAGTTGACGTTGTTGAAGAATTTGTGGGGTACACCCTTAACCAAACACTGAGTACACACCATGAATTGTCCTGTTTACTTCAAATGTCCTGTCTACTCAGACCATAAAGTCTCATTCGTTGCTCTAGAGATATAGAATGATATCATTATTCCAGGAATTATGTCAAAAGTGTCACTAGCATTATCTAGAGGATTCAGTGACAATTGAGTAAAACGTTTTCTGCAGTAACTGTGTCATTATCTACTTCAGGAATGGTGGCAGGTTTTGAGGCAAGACTTCAGAGAGTAAGCAACCAAGCACATTCTAGGCAAAAGAAAACAGTGTAAGTAGACATAATAGTTAAGTTCCCATGGGTGAAGGAGTGAAGCAGCAAAGTCTATGATAGCAAATACTCCCTTCTCCATCCTCTTGCATGAAGGCGAAGAGGGCTATGTAAGAAAAAAGGGTTTGGAGAAATTTAAAAAAAAAAGTGGCTAAGTGGCTATGTTTAAAACACGTCCTCGTCACCCATTGAAGGAGGAGCTTTGTCCCTAAGTAATAGGAAATGGCTGAACTCTGTACTCTACCCCAGCTTAGCGGAGTCTGGCCCAATGTATTAGTTAAATGTACTTGCAGCCTGGGTGAAAAGAGCACTGAATGCCAGAGAGGGTGCTTTGGAGCAGAATGAAGCAAGGGACTGGGAGAAGCCGACTTTCTGCTCCACAGAGGATGAGGAGCCGGGCTGGCATCCATTGGATGACTTCTGTTGCCTCTGCCTTTTCGAATTCCTTGGTCAGTTAAACATAAGAGTTGGTGGTGGAATTTCTATATTCTCGTCCTGTGTTTCTTCACTCCTTAGTATATGAGAACTTCTGAAATAATACTGCGGGCAGTTCTCCGACATCACATCGTAACAAGCAGGGTGGTGAAAACCACCATCCCTGGTGATCGCACCGCTGTGACCTTATCCACGTGGGGTTTTCGAACAACCAAACACCTAAAGGCTTCAAGGGTGAAGGTGGGCGATCACGAAAAGGGAAGAAAATCGGAGTTAGCTTATCTTTAAGCGTATCACTCGGGAGAAACAAAACACAGCGTTCTGACATCTCGGGAATTACAGGGCTTTTCTCTTCGCGAAGCAGCCATGTATTACAAGACAAAGGATTAGCATTCTAACCTTTCCTAAAGCCCACGCTGCAGCCCCTCGCTCGCACAGCCCACGGCAGGGAAAAGCGGGTGCGACGCAGACGTCACTGAGTCTTGCTGCTATTGTGTGGCTGATAAATACGGGTAGAAAGTTCATCCTATTTATAAGTGTTAAAACA